ACAGCTGTGTGCAATCAGTGCTGTGTGAAATCAGTGCTGTGTGCAATCAGTGTAATGAATGATGGGATATGTAGTCCGGGGTGATATGCAACAGTGTAGTGCGAGAGTCAATGAAGTGGAAAGGGTGACGGCTAGCAGACGGATGTTCATGGACCGGATACATAACAGAGCCCCCCCCCCCAAGGAGTGGCTTCCAGAAGCTCCAAACACTTTACGATTCCAGAGGGCGGTGGAATGGAGGCGGAACAGGGGGAGGGATGGAGGGCCAGGTCCACATGGAAGTGGAGAGACCGGGAACTGAGGCAGAACCAGCGGAGCAGAGGGCCAGGGCGGAGCCGGCAGTACAGGTGGAGCATAGAACCATCAGGGCCAGACAGCAGACCACCACGGCAGAGCAGAAGACCACCACGGCGGAGCAGAGGACCACCAGAGCCAGACAGTAGACCACCACGGCGGGGCAGAAAACCACCACGGCAGAGCAGAGGACCACCAGAGCCAGACAGTAGACCCCCACGGCGGGGCAGAAGACCACCAGAGCCAGACAGACCACCACGGCGGAGCAGAAGGAACAGGAGACCCCCACGGTGAACCACACCGATCAGGAGACCATGGCGGAGACTTTAACAACGAGAGAGCAGAGACAGACAACACAGACAAAACATTGGGGTTGATAGACAAGGCTGAGTGTTCGGAGGCAGCCTCCTTGGCTGGGTCGGGACAGGACAAAAGTTCACAAACGACCTCCTTGGCCAGAAACAAAGCAAGCAAAGAATTCACAAATGGCCTCCATAGCTGTGACCGGACAGGATGAGGAATCACAGACGGCCTCCATAGCCATGACAGAACGAGGAGGGAGTTCGCAAACGGCCTTTATAGCCGTGACAGAATGAGCAGGGAGTTCTCAAACGGCCTTTATAGTCGTGACAGGACAGACAACGAGTTCCCTGACGACCTCCTTGGCCGGAACAGAACAGGCAGAGAGTTTACCAACGGCCTCCTTAGCTGTGTCAGGACAGGACGATAGTTCACAGACGGCCTCCATGGCCGTAACAGGGCAGGACGAGGATTCACAGACGGCCTCCTTAGCCGTGACAGGACAGGCAGAGAGTTCACCGATGGCCTCCATTGCCATGACAGGACGGGACGAGAGTTCACAGACGGCCTTCATAGCCGTGACAGGACAAGCAGGGAGTTCAAAAATGGCCTCTGTGGCCGATTCAGGACAAGACGAGAGTTCATCAGTGAGTACCACTGACACCTCTGGAGGTTCTGCAGCGGATGCCGCCACCTTTGGAGGTTCTACAGCCGTACAATCTGGAAACGGGGAAAGTTCATTAGTGTTTTTCTTAGTAGGACAGGTACAAAGTTCAGCAATGGTTCCTTCGACCGTGACATGACAGGCTGAGAGTGTATTTCTGGGGCCTCCTTGGCCGGAACAGGACGAGCAGAGAGTTCATAGACGGCCTCCTTGGCCGGAACAGGACGAGCAGAGAGTTCATAGATGGGAACTACTGACACCTCTGGAGGTTCTGCAGCGGATGCCGCCACCTTTGGAGGTTCTACAGCCGTACAATCTGGAAACGGGGAAAGTTCATTAGTGTTTTTCTTAGTAGGACAGGTACAAAGTTCAGCAATGGTTCCTTCGACCGTGACATGACAGGCTGAGAGTGTATTTCTGGGTGCCACCACCATACAAGGAGCTGAAGCGAGCGCCGCTGCCTCGGGAGGTTTTGCAGCCTCAGCCGCCACCTCTGGAGACACCAAAATGGACGCTGCCACCTCAGGAGACCGCACAGTGGCCGCCGCTGTTTCTACATTTTCAGTGGTGGTGTATGCAGCCCAAATACACCATAAAGCTATCCACATTGTGGGAAGTGCTACAGACAGGGGAACTAGTTCAGAAACTGGAGGGCTTGAGAGCGCTGGTTTAGGGATGCCAGCTGCACGTGCCGACGCCAGTGGTGGGTCCTCCACGCTGGAAGCCAGTCTGGAATACTAAAGGGCTGACCTTGATAATCTGGGTGAAACAGACAGGACATGACATGACTCTGGATGATCAGCTGTGATGCAACGTGATTCTGGATGATCAGCTGTGATGTGACGTGACTCTGGATGAATAACTGAGGCGTGACGTGACTCTGGATGAACGGCTGAGATGTGACGTGACTCTGGACAAAAGGCTGAGATGTGACGAGGCTCTGGCAGATCAGATGAGACTTGACTGGACTCATGAGTATAGGATTTATTAGGATTTACTAGGATTTACACAACTAGGATTTACACAAGCTTCAGTCTGGATCCAGAACACCTGAGAAGAGATGATGCAACCCCTCAGAGGACCTCAGATGATGCCAACCCTGAAACAACATACAGAACTACCACATTTTGCTATAAGTTTGATTGCATCATATAATAATTGCTGTTAATATTATTCATCGTCTGTTTTATTACGTCTTATATTGATTTTTCCGTTCTGCTGGTTCGTCTGGTCAGAGGAGAACTGGCCCCCCGACTGAGCCTGGTTTCTCCCAAGGTTTTTTCTCCATTCTGTCACCGATGGAGTTTTGGTTCCTTGCCGCTGTCGCCTCTGGCTTGCTTAGTTGGGGACACTTCATTTCCAGCGTTATCGTTGACATGATTGCAAAGATATTATTTAAACTGAGCTGGATGTTGACATCACTGAATTCAATGATGAACTGTCTTTAACTGAAAAATTAGTGTTTACTATTGTCATTTTGCATTATTGACACTATTTTCCTAATTAATGCTGTTCAGTTGCTTTGTCACAATCTGTATTGTTAAAAGTGCTATATAAATAAAGGTGACTTGACTTGACTTGACTTGACATGAATATCAGTTGTGACTTGACTAGACTCATGACTATCAGCTGTGACTTGACTAGACTCATGATAATAAACTGTGACCTGACTTGACTCGTGACGATCAACTGTGACTAGACTCGCCTCATGAAGAACAGCTGTGACTTGACTTGCCTCATGAAGATCAACCGTGACTTGACTGAACTCAGGGAGATCAGCTGTGACTTGACTGGACTCATGATGGGCAGCTGTGACATGACTGGGTGCTGTTGTGTCCGCCATCTTGTGAGTGTGCTCCGCTGTCGGCGCCATTTTGTGAGCGTGCTCTAGTGTGGCCGCCATTTTGCAAATGGGCTCCGCTGTCGCCGCCATCATGCGAGCGCGCTCTGGTGCGGCTGTCATTTCACGAGCGGGTTGCATCACCGGAGTAGCGATCAGTAAACTTGAATATCCCGGAGCTTGTGGTTGACTACACTCAGCAGCCACCATTACAGGCACAGACGCGGTATCACGTTCTTCCTCCGTGATACCCACAGTACACAAAGAGCCCACAGTCAATAAAGCATAATCCATAAATTGACATAGTGACGAACGCGGACCCTCAAGTATGAGCTTAGATTTTGGCGGTTGATTAATGCCATTACAGAAAAAATCAATCAAAACATAGTCCAGTAAATCAGAGTGATAGGCAATGTCCAAATACTCTTGAATGTAGTCCTCAAGCGAGCGGATGCCCTGCTCGAGGGCTAACAACAGCCTTGCAGTATCCATACCTGGCCAATGTTCACATGAGAAGCTGCTAGATCCTTGTGTGGCCGAGTATTCTGTTATGGGGATGACGAGACGTGAGACGTGCAGATCCATGTGCAAGCTTTATTTAAAGCAGAGAGGTCAGAAACACAGGCAGGGTCGAACAATGGCAAACAGGTATATGGTGGACAAGACACAAGAATAACCCTAGGGCTAGCGAAGGTCAACGAAC